TGAACCTCCGTTCTTTAACTTCACATTGATTTTGTTACATCACAGGGTTTATGGACGTGAGTGTGAGACTAGACCTGCGCTTCCCAGTAAGCCTCCCTGCGAACCCTCACATGACACCTTCTGCATGGCCTGTGCCTGGGAGACAGCGCATTTGTCTACTACCAATTCCATCTGCTCAGTAGCTTGTCCGTTCACAAGCTACAAGAGTGAGAAGGTAGGGAGCCCCATCCTGCAGAATATGAATAGAAGAAGGGGATCCCATCTCCTCACCGTCTCAGATCCTTCTGTCCCTGCAGACTTCAGCATACGAAGTAGTCTCCTGTGGGCAAATCTGTGTTCCTACCCAGATCAGATCAAATGGGGAGTAAGGGAGCAGTGGGGTGGTAGCAGAGAAGAGAGAGACCACACATCTTTGCAGTCATCTGTTGACTCCTTATCCAACAGGTGTAGTGCTAATGTGGTATGTAGTAACTCCACCATTACTCTTGGCACTAGTGTTGTGAAAGATTAAAATCACGTGTCCCTGCAGTATTTAATAATAAGTTATTTTGCAAACATAATTTTAAAATTAAGACCCTAGATGTGTTGGCTTACATTCTCTTCTGTCCTCCACTCAGAGGAGATTATGAAATACATAAAAACCTAGTCCCACTACAATGGACATGCTTTGCAGCAGGGGACCTCTATTTCTCTTTTGGGACATGCCAACACATTTCTGAAGTTAAGAAATAATCATAGTGTCTGGTTTTGTTAATAACAATCTCTTGCAGAGAGGGTGAGAAAATGAAGCTGATATATCAGCTTTCCCCACCCCTCGACCCCAAATCTCTAACTTTATGCTTTATTTGTGTGTTGTCATGTAAATACAAGAGGAAATTTACACAAAGTGCTGGACTAACCTGACTTCTCACGGGGACTTCTGCAGGTACCAGGCTGATTGGACCTACCCCTTAACTCCAGACTAGGCAGGAACAGTCACTGCTTATACTTTCATACCCTACAACATTTTAAAACACTGTATCTATGTGCAGACATATTCAGTAATTCTGACCATGCAACTAGTAGTTCCTTCCACTACATCAATATTGTGGTAAAATAAGCATCTCTTTATATTGATATTTTGAGTCAAGATTTGCCTGCTGGATATACTTTCTCTCCATTAAAACTAGCAGAGGTTTATCAGGGATGTAATGGGAGATGACCTAGGTCAAAGCTGAGTGCTTTGTGAAAACCCAATCCATTTGTATATTTGAGAGCAAATAAAATAAAATAATTAAAAAAAAAAAAAACAAACAAGAACACCTACTGTAAACATCACTATTTATTCAACATATCCACATTACTTACTATCAGTGTAATGGTTTGAACCTCTACAAACTTCTGTGCTTAGCTGATTAAATGGAAAGCTTTTCTTGTGGCAAGGTAAAAATGCACTTGAACCAGTTATCTTATATGTTAATATATGTTTGCTTATATCAGGAAGGATAGTATCAAACTCTGGGTCTGATACCTAATGACAACAGTCATTACATTGTCATTGATTTCAAAAATTCCTAATTTTTTAAAGTACCTCACAGATGAACACGCTTTTCTTTCATTCTGTTTTTTAATAGAGAAACCTGGAATGTTATTTCTTGGCATGTAAAGTACAACTGCAATGCTCTTAAATTCTTCATACCATTTTGGATTGGCCTGTAATCCATATGAAACAGCTTCCAGGTGAGATGAAGTTGGATTTTTATGAAATGTACCAAAATAAGGAGCTAATTATTTCAGATGAGCTTAAGGGGAGGTGTACTTGTCTGTACTCAGGTAGGCAAAACCTTTTTACTTAATTTCAGAATGTTATCAGCAAAATGAACTTTCATAACAGCTCAAAGAAAGATGTTTTTAGCAAGAAATTTGTTGTGTTGAGATACCATGCAACCCTTTATAAAACCAGGTAAAACTGAAAAACGTGCCATGAAAAGAGAGGAACTATTCATCTTAAAATACATTAAGAGTATATATCTCTGGATATAACAACCTGGAAGACGCAGGTTGCTGTCTCAAAGAGTTAGAAATGAGAAAAAAATATGAAACACAGCTTACATGAACAACTCATCTTTACTGAAGATCTTGATAAATACCAAAAAATATTTAATTCAGTGTATCTTTTAGATATACGTTAGAGATACATTTGTGCTTACCTGTCTTCTAGTGTCTAGTACCTGCTTCCAAATTCTGCTTCTAGATAGACAAGTTACAATGTTGTGCTAGACCCTGGCTATTGCTACTTTGTTCATATTTTGGTAGTATCTTTTGTACTTTTGCTAAGCAGACTATTGGGATATTTGACTTTAGACCAGCAAATTTTTATGAATACTTTAGTCATGAATGATCCCACTAACTTCAGGGAGGCTACTTAAATTATATGAAGTTAGAAGCAGTGGATCTGAACAGCTTAGGTTTTCTTACTGAGATTTTACATTCTTTTATACATCTTTAGGGAACCATAGGGTTGGGGTTTTTTCAGCAAGATAGCTTAGGCTGAAAAAGTCAAACCATTCATCTCACTATGGACAATCTGCACCTTGTTTATGGGGAACACTGCCTGGTGCTATGTAGGAGCAGGTGCTGCTGAATGTCACCTCTAGTATTTTGTTATAAGTTCACGATTGTAGCTGCAGTGAGATAGACAATGCTTTTAGGAGGGCTGAGTTTTGAAACAAAAGCATTTCAAAATTATAAGTAATTATTTTTGAACTTTCAAACGTTACGGTAGAAATATCCCTTTTAGATATATTTTGAGGCTTGTATTGTCCATGTAAGGTTGATTATAAAACATCAAGGAATAGAAACTGGCTTTTACTGTATGCTTTTGAGAATTGCTTAAGTCCACTTGAGTGTATCATAGAGATTCATACACATTTTGTGTGACAAGTAGATAAAACCACAATTTAAATGTTAGGTACCTCATATTCATGGGACAAGATTTTTAAAAATCTCTATTATATGAAACAAGCTAACGTGTGCAAATTAAAATCTGCAGCCTCACAGTAGATTATCCGAGTATCATGCCTCTGGAAGAGCTGGTAGATATGAATATTACAATAACTTCCTTGTGTTGCTGTAATGACTGGAAGAACACATGAGATTCACACTCTCCCCCATCTGTCACTACTCAAAGCACAGACCGGGTAAACCATGTCGTCTCTGCAGATATTTAGAAAAGGCTAGCAGAAAATTTTAGAAAGTTATTCCCTCTAATCTGTACATTTAGGCAAGTAATTTGTTCCCTTCGAATTCCTTTCCTCAGGGCAGCCAAGAGCGTACGTATTTCTGGCACCAATGGAAATAATCATCTGCAGTATCACTTTCTCCCCCCATGGGAAGTACATTTACTCTTTAATGGGAAACCGAAACAAGATTGTCACCATTCTGACTAATGGCAACACAGAACAAGTAGGAAACACTTCAATGGAAATATTTATAAAAATAGCATACACAGAAGACAAAAGAAGCTTTCATATTATGAATGAATACTTGAAAGTAATAGTCTATTTCTTACCACATTCATGAGCAAGAAGGGAGTCAAAATCAGTTGAATTAGGAAACACTTGTTAAGAATTTTTCATTAAGATGCACTTAATGCAGGTAATTGTCTATAGCAACTATAATCATGAGCTGTGTATGTATTTTATATGCAGAATCTATGTCTGGTAACATAGGTGACAATAACTATTAGTGAAATTTTTCACAGGAATTAATGGTTGAAACAACATTGACTCATGCTGGGAGTCTAAAATGCACAATACTTTCTACATTCACTGGTTATTTCCCCATCACTTACTATCCCACTCACCTGCTGTACAACAATGTTGTTGCAGGGCTTTTCAGGTTAGAAACTGGGCGCTTCACATTTCACACTTGAATACTGTTGCTGAAGATAGCTGATAAAAAGAAATTCTTAATTTAAGGAAGAATAAAAAAAACCCCAAACAACGAAACCCCAAAAATCTTGATGCCTTGATTGCTCATAGCAAATAAAGAATTTCCATTTACAGACATAAAATATAGGAAAAGGACTGGACAAAGCTAAAAGTTACCACAAATGCCATTTTTCTCTCTTTTTTCATAGATCTCAATAGGAAAAAAAGCGCGCCCATATAATTGGCTTAATTCAGTGCCATTTACTTTAAAAGTATGCATTCTCACAGTTGTGTCATGCCAGTGAAAATCACCATTAGATCACAACTGAACCCCTTCTGTATACATAGCTATATCTGTTTACTGTACATAAGCATTACACACCACAGCAAATGTTTATACAAAGAAGAAGTCACTCTGCGTAGTGCTTGTCCAAAACCAGGACAGGATCAAGTGTGATATCCAACAGTGAAGGTGTTTAAATTCAAACACAGCACTTTATATCCCACTTTTTGTAAAACGAAAATCTGTGTTTGTGTTTTGGCAGTCTGACTCTCTTGTTTCTGAAATCACAGACTTTAATGGAAACATAAAGTTAATACACAAAACAACATCTGAGAACAGCTAAATTGGATTGTAAGTGACAGGAGCAAGCTTTGGTAGAATTGGATTATTTAGAATAACCGTTACAATGCTAACAAGTAGTCACTCGGGATTTACCTCCCAACATTTGTAGCAAACAAGAAGTTATCTTTAACCATATTAGATTACAAATAAAGACAAAAGAGGTGCTGATCATTTACTCTTCCACATAGAACACCACTCACAGTCTGATCATTCTAAATATCAAGTCATCGTTCTAAGCACAACATTGTTATATTTCAGCTTAATAAATTCCAATGACATTTTCCTTGTTTACTTTCATTAACAGTAGAGCTTTAGACCAATTTTGCTGTGCAAGTGTTGTTTACTTATGACTTTCAAGGTAATATATTTACTTGGAGTTATGTCATGGCAGTGTCCTGTGCATGGCAGTGTATCCAATTTGGAGCTGAGAGGAGGACTCCAACCCACTGAACATGACTGCAAACAAAAGCTCTTTACTTGAATTCAATCTAAAAATCTTGTACAGTCTATTTTGAACTCATAGAGGAATTATGATTGTACAAGATTGTACATTTTAATGTAAGATGTAGGTGATGGAAAGTAAATTGTGTCAGATGAACACTCTTGATTGCCATCAGTCTATACAGCTTATCTTGTATCAAATTTATCTCCATTGTGCTAAAGGTAAGAGAAGTTTAGACTAATAAAACAAATTATTTTCTCATTAAGACAAGACAATACATTTTACAAGACTTCAAATGTTGAATCTCAAGTCCTCTATTGAGTTACTTAATGTTTGCTTCCAAACCAAGATACAGGCTTTGTTAGTGCCAACGTCATTGTAACACTTCTCATTTTATAGCAAGCTCAATAATTTAGGAGCCTATTTCCCCCCTCCTTTCCATATATTGTTTGTGCTTGCTGCTTAGATCAAGTGGTCATATGCTAACAGCCACTATAAAAGTAGCAGTTCAAGTACATTTTCCCATCCAAGAAAGCTGTAATGCAGGATGGTTAGCCTAAAAGCCAGCAAGAATGTAGTGCGAGGCCATTTGCAGTACGAAGCTTCCGAACGGAACCATATGCAAAATGGCTATCTCGAAAGAAGTACTGGAACTACAACTCTTATCCAGGTTGATATGTTTTCTGAAAGGGGAAATCACCAATTATAGTCTTCAGCATGAATAACACACTTTAGAAACTACCAATAAAGGGGTTTGCCAATTTAAAAGTTAGTTATTGGTTGTACAAAGAATGAGCCAATGGACTTTCCATTCTTTGCATCTTTGTTCCCCTCAAGAGTCCATTACCTTTCACAAAGAAAATTTTAGCTATCAAACTTGTCCATAAATTTTGCCGCTGAGTGTGAAACCATCCAGTTAGCATATACACTATCATTTGCATATCTTGAAAACACAGAGTTAGTGCCATCGAATCTTGTGAGTGGAACGGGGCTCTCCTCAGGCCAGTTCGGGTATGACATGCCTAAAAATGAAAACAGATAATTTTTTCTGCACTGAAGAACCATAACTTCATGTGCAGACAGTAAGGCCCTTGGCAAAACTCCCTTCAATATTTTAAGCCAGTCCACTGGATTTTGTCCCAAATCAATTCATATAAATGATGTTTCAAAATCCCTGAAGCACAAATTCAGATCTAGGCAAAAACCCTGAAAAAATAAAGTGCTTACTTGATAAAAATTGTGTGCACGCACGCACATGTGCATAATAAAAAGCTAATAATTTTTTTCTGATGATCCTTCAGCTTTCCATAATTTTATTTTTTAACAATCATGTAGCAATATATTGCTTTGCAAAAGGAAGTTATTGATGTACAGGAAGCGCTCCAAGAATTAATAAACCTGTTTGGGACAGGATCCAAAGTCCATTCCAATGACTGAGAGTATTTCCATTTACTTAAATGGGCGCCTTTCCTTTGGCTTCAGTGAGGTTTTGGGTACAGTCTCACAGTCTCACACCCTCACCAAGAATCCCCTGCTTAATTTTAGAAAATCCAAGGAGCACAACTGAGTAAAGTCCAACAAAGTCCTGAGCACTCTTGTCTTGATTCAGCATTTATACATTTATTTCAGGCATGTAATTATTTGCATTGAGTCCAGTAATTGCTTTCTCAGTTTAGGCACAAGTAATCACCAAAATGGAAGCAGAGTGCTTAGCACCATGTTGATCCAGCTGTACAAGCAGAGAACCATACCAGCGTCAAGATTTTCAAAAAGAGAAATCTGATTTTGTTACTCTAAGCATTCAGCATCTGCCATCAACCTTGGTGGCAACTTTTTCTGTTACTGCATTCTTTTAACAATCTGGCCACGAAGTGCCCCAAAGTGAACATGAGTTGGGGAAACCTATTAAAGAAGATTATAGCTAGGGTATAGATCAAAAATAGACCCAAAGCCATGTATTAATGGCAACTTTTAAGCTACAAGATCCAACTTTTCAAAAGTCGTACTGCTTGAAGAATGAAAAAAAAAAATCTGTGATGTTAGTAAAGATCTAAAAACATGTAGAATATTTAATCAGGAGACAAAATGTAGGAGTTTTGGCAAGAACCATTTTTACTGTCCATCTCACCATCACAATATGAAAGCATATGTTCTTTTTAAAAACACTTGCTACATCACTCAATCAAGGCTTAGTACTGACATTTTCATAATAAATCAAAGGACATGAAAACAGCTGAGTGTATTTTCAAAATGCCCATTGTTAATTCAATGTTCGAAGGACTTTACATGTTGATTTAGTCTGTATATAATACTTATATACAGTATTTCTACCTTCTGTATATAATACTCTGATTTCATTCTATGATACATTAAATAGACATTTCAGCTTATGGATCCAGAATGCATTAACAGCAGCTGAAATTTAGAAATCCATCTTGATAAATGAAAAATGTTGCAAATGGGTTGTATCATTAAGCTATGGCAAAAACCATTTTTTTTTAAAAAAAGTCTATTGCTTAAATTAGAGATGCAGTCTAATATACTTTAAATGTTCCTAGCCTCCCCCAACAGGATAGTTGAATTAGGTACTCATTAGCATTTTATATTTCCCCTGAGAATACTTCCCTGATCTTTTTTTTCCTTTTACTGTATGATATCTACTCATTTTGCTTATTTTCACATCCTTTTAAAAACGTTTATTTTAAACACAGCTGCAAAATGACTGAAGGATGATCCTGATGCAAACTTTGACATTTACCAAAAGAAAAAAACAAACAAAAAACCCCAAAAGAAGCTTCCAAGCAAATTCTGATTGGCTTCATTCAGACAAGAAACACTGTAATGGGGTTACAGAGTCTGAGAACAGTGCAGAAGAAAAATCTTTTTTTTTTTTTTTTTTTTGTGTTGCTAGAATCTAGTAAATGCATGTGAAATTCTACCATAGAGTTTGTTTTCAATCCATGTGGAAGGGAGGGTTCGAGGGAGGGGAGCATTATTACAGTCCACGAGTGGTGTCTCCTCTTCTGAGAGCCCATCATCATAAAGTAAAGAATCAGAAGGTGTGGAAGCTGCAAGATCTAAGTAGTCCTAAGAAGTGAACACAGAACAAGCTAGGTTAACATACATGGCAGTGTTGCTGGTTGGGTATAAAGGCTAAATGTGCATCTGGTTTCTTTAAAACAAGTAACTGCAGACCCCACTGTGTTTGTCTTTTGATAGTACCTCTGGCAACTGCGAGTAGGCTTTCCCTTTCTGCAACCACAGCATCTTTGGAAGTATGTGATTTGACAGAACACTAGACATGCTAGACACATATTAATACTTCCCTTACTTAATCCTGCATCTCAGTAGAATAATGAAGAAGTTAAAGGGCTGTGATAACTGATTTGTTTGACCTTCAATTTCTGTTATGCCTGATACATATCTGTGGCTGATCTGTCTCTCTCTATATAGATACATACGCACGCTTAAAGGGGTACGTACTCAGATCTTCTCATAATTTTACAAAAGCTATTACATAATCCTGAATAAAATTAGCTGTGTAAATATTGCCAAATAAAGCTTGTGCTGCTGTTGGTCTAAAACTAAATATTTAGGTCAACCATAAGAATTTATAGGTTTCCATCTATGCTGCTGAATTGCTTTGATGTAAAAAACAAATGTGAAGCATTTTCAACTAATCTAAAATACACTTTTCCTTTAAAAATAGCTTTCCCTTTGGAAATTTACTGAAATTAAACATTAAAAAAGGTAAAGTTACCCAATTTTATAAATTGAAAAATCTTCAGAATTTTTCATTCAGAAAGACAAGAAGAAAAATTACTAATTTGTCAAGCTGTATTTTGTATTTGCTTTCGTTTTAATTATGATAAAAATTTCAGAAAACTTGCAGCCTCTCTATTACAAGTCTGTCACTGGACATGCAGATTCTCAGCAGCTATAAGTTAGTGCTTAACAAGTCAAAGTGATTTAATGTACAGCCTAGACCTTTCACTTTGACATTTTTAATTTAGAATTTATTTATACATTCACATTCTGAACAAAATTGTTCCTATTTGTTTATTAGTCCTTTTTGCACTCAACGTAAATGCCATCACATTGTTAAATCTGGTAATGATTGCTGTATTTCCTCTGTTTTTCATTTCTGTAACTGCCTGCCTCCCCATTTTTTTTTTAAATTATGTTTTTATGTGCAAATAGGTATGTGTACATTTTATAAATATATGCACCTTGGACTTACTTTTAGACCTCAGCATCCGTTCATTCAAAGAACGTCTATACAGGACTATAATAGTTTTAAAATAACTCAGAATAGTGGAATCATAGAGCTTTCGTATCTCTGTTGCTATCATGTAACTAAATCAAATTCAAGGAAATACTGCATTCTTCTAGTTCTAGGCCTCGTAGGGTTATTTATTCAGGAGTGCAATTTATAAGGAATTTTTTTTTTTTTTTTAAATTTAAGGTAGCTAGACAGATTAAGAGCTGCATTTAGAACTGAAGTCACCAAAGCTGCTATATGAAGTACTACTGCTTTCAAAAAGTTGGATACTTGATTTGGAATAAACTAGATACACAAATACTTCAAAATTGGGTGAAAAGTAAATTACTTTGCTTTTTGGGAAAAAAAAATAAAATCATTCTTTCTGCATATTCAAACCTCGGATGATCACAAAAACTTTCAAAAACTCATGCTTTCCCATACTTACCCTACTCTTCACCATCATTTTCTCTAGTTCTTTGCTGATTTCAGCAAACGTTGGTCTTTTATCAGGTTCTTGCTTCCAGCAGCGCAACATCAGGTTGTACCTGTGACCCACCACAAGGTGAAAGAAACCCCAAAACTGTTAGAAGTGATGCTTGTAAACTTCTACCCTGCCCTAAATTCAGAAACCCGTAATGGTTTTTTTCTCTTTATATGGTATTAAAAAAATAAAATTATATTACCTATACTGTGTTTCCTCAGACCGGATGTGGCCAAAGCATACTTCATATTGAAAATCAGTCAAAAGAAATGTCATAGTGATTATAGCCTTGTAACTTTCTAAAAAAACCTGACCATGACCAGATATACAGGCTGAATTCATGCCTTATCTCCAAATGCCATGGAAGAACCACAGAGAGAAGATATTTCACTTTGAGAGAGTTTTAAGAAATCAGCCAATAAAATATGAACTATCTCCAAATAGAAAAGAAATTGCCATGGGCTAATCAAGTCACAGAAAATTAGTGTCTTCTAGGGTATAGACTTCTGGGTCAAAGTATCATTTCTCCCCTGTAATGCCAGGACAACTTATAGACAATGACTGTGGATGGAACATCTGTCTCATTTGCAGAAAAGTACTGAAACATTTTCTTGAATATTTCAGCTACCACTGCATTTTATGAAATTCTCCTCCTCCCCACCCTCAGATGTTTTGAATATTCAAACTCTTTTAATTGTTTGGCAAGTGTGTTATTTGATATCCTACGAGTATTTTGGATGTAGCTGCAAGCATTCTGTTGGCAATTCTTTTCCTGCACTTTACTGTTCACTAATTTCATTACATTCTTTTGAGCACTACATATTTTGATGATACCTCTGAGATATACAGAATAGTATTTATGTGGTATTTATTTAACCCTTTTTAAAAAAATGTATTTATTCAAGAGAAGTTTTGTGAATCTAATGAGATCAAGGCTACTTACATTTCTTCACTGCAGTTTTCTGGTCTCTCCATTCTATAGCCTGTTTTTAGGAGGTTAAAGAGTCTTTCAGGAGCAATACCTGGGTAGGGATTGCCTCCCAAAGTTACAATCTCCCATAGCAGAACTCCAAATGACCATCTGAAAAAGAGAAAAATGAGCTTTTATTTAGAGTGGTATGTTTCAAGAGCTTTAGTGTGACTTTCATCCAACAAATCTCTTTTTAGTGTTTTGAGAACCCGCCCAAATTTAAGACATTGCTGTGTCAGAGGGGCCATACAGATGCATATAGGGCCATCCTTGTTCCCAAATACTGTTCATTAAAAAGATTAGCAACAAAGACAGTAGAGATAGGGGATACTCTTTTATCCATTGACAAAAGCTGACTGTATCCTGGGAAGGCCCATCTTCTCTAGACAGCAGAAAGTCCTTCCCATGGTGGCCCAGCCCAAAGGCTTGTTCCTCTTCAGTACTGTGCTCCTGGAGGTGCCTCTCTTTTTTCTTTGGCTACAGAGGGAGTCTAAGCTCCCTAATTAGCCCTTGTACTCCTACTTAGAAATAATAGTCTAAATTTACACAGTCTGGCTCAACCAGTTACCAAGAGACTGGTTTGCTGTCTTGACTATGAGGTTGTGTTTCCTGATATGCACAATGTGTTTATTTCAATCATAAGCAACATGATTTCAGCTGGTCTGTTGGGCCATTTCAGTGATTCGGGACTTAAGAAAGTCCTGACTTACGAAAGAAGAGGGAAGAACTTATTCTGGAAATACCAAATGCCTAAAACAGAGTTTAACATAGAACAGAAGACAGAAGAAACTGTTTTCTGAAATTAACAGAAGAAATGGTGACTTCTTTTAACTTACTTTATTGATGAGCTCAAACAAAAAGACCTTGCTTAATGGGTTGGAAATATTTAGATAGAATAAATTAATCCATTTATGGAGGGCGAGCCAGAAGAAAAGAGGCAAAAATGTTTTTCTTTCTTTAGTGGAAGGCTTTTTTGAGACACAAAGAAGCTTCAAGTTACTGTGAATCTGCTCAACTGGCAGAACTGCTAAAATTTGGATGTTCAAAATGAAAGAAACTAGCCAACACTGTTTCACTCAAAGGGGATACTCAATGGGTTGCATCTGGAAGCAAAATTACATACCATTTATGACAAATGTTAGCTTTTGTGCTCTCAACATTGGGTAATTTCTGTACAAACTCCACTTTTAAGATGATTTTAGGAAGTGTTACACACCTAATGCCAAACCAAACAGAAGTGTCTAATTCCTTTTGAAAATTCGATCTTAAAATGTTAGCTACAAATATCACCTCCTGTCTGACTACATTCCACCTGTGCTTCTCACATTTTAAAGAGCAATGGTAACCCCAAAAGTACAGCAATAAAACTTCCAAAATGGGCAGAAAAGCCAAAGTGAGTCTCACGCAGTCCTAAGCAGTATGGTGCTGTTTTTCTCCCTAATGCCATTGACTGAATTACTTTTTAATCACTCTGCACATTCTTGAAAGCTAATGAATATTTATAGCATTTTCATATAGTTTATTAATATACCTCCTCATACCCTTTTTGAAGCCAATTATGCTCTGCCATCAGGTTATAATTCTGCCCATGATTAATTCAAATAAACTTTGTAGTGTGGCAGGTTTTATTTTTAAAATCCACCTCTTCTGCTCAAGAGGAATTTTACAGAATATGGAAGGAGGGATCAGATGAGTAATTTCTTAAAGTTGTTTAGTAAATGGGCATATTAGAGTAAAATGCTGTAGAATGCTGCAATGCTTTCAAATCATTATACAAATTAAGTACTATGGGAGGAGAAATGGGAAATGAAAAATTTTCCATTTTGCTATGTTTATTGCTGAATAAAAGTGTGATCAGAAAAAAACAGGAAAGAAAAATATGTGAAGAGGAAGACAGTAGGCTAGCTTTCCACTGATGTCATCGACCTCTGAGGCAAAAATGGGATTTTGTAAATGCTGGCAAGTGGTACTGCTATTAAGCACTGCTAACCACTAACTATATAGAAAGGCTTTAGAAGGAAGAGGCTGGAAAATAGAAACAGAGTATGAGGAAAAAAAAGAGCATATTAGAATGGCTGTTGAATATATTAATATATATAGTCACCTAAAACATAATTGCATCACCACAAACAGCAAAGATTATTCAAAAAAAAGTATGCAGAAAAGTACTTCACTTATCAGTTTGCTGTTGTTGGAATGGCATTTGTGGAACCTAGTGCTGGAGAGGATTTGCTTTGCAACTCACTGTGTGTGTCACAGTACTGTTCTGTAGGGACTTGCCTAAATTAGGAGCTGCTATGTAACACTCTTAGATTACTTCATGTGTAATGACATGAATAGTGAAGATGACCTCACCAGTAAGGCAAAGGCACTGTGTAAGTGTGGCAGATATTTAGACCTTTTATGCTATTGTATTGAAGCAGACCTACAAAGCACAAAGCAGTGCTCTGTTAAGAATACCAGATGCATCTCCAAGCAAGCTGGTAAATCCACATGGCTTTACACAGAGATACTAATCCGGATCTGGGAAGCAGTAAAGCTACACAGCACCAGTGTGCTGCACAGGGCTCTGAGATAGCTTTCTTGATGCCAGCTGGGCAGTCTCTGCATGGCGTTGTATCACATCTACAAGAGATGGGCTCCTGGGCTTAATAGCAGCCCATCAGGAAAACAAGCAGGGAGGAATGGTATTGGATCCAGAAGATCAATCAACGATCAAAGAAGAGGCAGTTACACAACAACACAATCTGTTCTGGCCCCAAACCATCATGACAAATCTGTTTTGCAGAAAATGAATAAATTGAAAATATACTGAGAAGTTTTTAAAAGAATTTTAACAATTCTCTGGGAAGAGTCATTACAGAGCAGCAGGTCAGCACAACGGATACTCTGACGAGGATAAAAAGAGACCCAGAAAAATCTGTAAGCAGACCTAAGTAATAGTAACATTCTCCCAAGAACTACCCCAATCTTTTAGCTTTTCTTACTCCACGTGAAACAAAGTAAATTAAAGTATTTTGGAAATGCATTTTGTAAGGAATTTCCAAGGCAAGCAAAATATTTTACTTCACTAAAACTGCTCTGACCTGCAGAGAGAAGAGTAAAAGTGAATGTAAATAATTTTAGAAGTACAAATCAAAAGGTTGCTATTATCAAAGTGCTTCCCCTCAAAGTGAAATGTCATTGAGATTGGTATGTTTTACTTAATTTGAGTTTAATGAAAACATTACTTTAGGCAGATCCTCTTTCAAGGAAAACTTGCAAGGTATCAAATGCTACCCAAAATGCTACCTAGCAGAAAATCAGGTATAAGTACTGCAGCTTTTGCAGTCCCTTAGAGATTTTTCTTCTAAATTTTACAGTGTCTGCCTGGCAACTAGTCACAAGCATCATTCATCCCAGAGTGAAAGAAATGAATGTATCTGATCCTGAATTAAGTGTATACAAACACTCCTCTGCCTGGCTCCTTGCTTATCAGACGTGAAAACAGCTTAGTTGGGGTTGCCTTGCCACCTAATCATCACAGGTGGAGACAGAAGCATATCCATCTTCAGGATCTCTGTTTCGAACTTTCATCTTGGCCCTGGAACCAGACTATTCCCCTAAGGTCTGAGCTGGCTGTCATTAAAATTAATTGGAGTTTCGTCGTTGGTTTCAATAGAAGTACGGCCAGGCGTTAAATTCTTCTTCCTTTCTTCCCACCCCATCCCTCATCTGTCAGCAAGTGTTACAGACAAGTGATGAACAGGAACTCGGAAGTTTAGGTATAACTATTATTTTCTTTAGCAAAGACTAGTAATTTGTGCCTACATATTTAAAGACAACCATGTCACATGAACAAATTGAACCCTTGTGGTTTCAATAGGAATTATGTACTTAAATACCTCTGATAATCTTTTCTTCAGATTTAATTCAAGAACAAAAACCTGATGTATCATTGCCAGCTAATGGTGCCATCCAGGCTGTGTTCTTCATGTCTCTTTTAAGAGTAACAGCTTTGAACCTTGTTGTGCTTTCTTCCTCATCTCCTTGAACAAGTACATAACCCATCAAGAATGCAAGAATTTACACTTACACATCACTTTGTGTTGTATAGATATGATCAAATAGGGACTCTATGGCCATCCATTTAACAGGTATCCGACCCTAGGAGGAAGAAAAGCAACAATGCAATTACTGGTCAGAAAATTGTAATTGGAAGGAAAACCAAGGTAGTTATCTTCAAAACAGATACTCCATCCGTATTCTAGTATTTACCAATGGACTGAATGATTTGGCATTTGAGAAGAAAAACAGGGAGGACAACAATTGCAAGAGTTTTTAAAATCACTCATTCATTTCATTCTACACATTTCAGTAATCTAATTATGTACAATAAGGTGGTGTGGGTTTTTTTCCAGATGGTCACCTGTTTAAGTCAGAGAAACTCAATTCTCCTCTTAACAAAGAGCTTCATCCAAAGAGTTATATTCTTCTAAACATGAATGTCTGTCTTCCCATTGCTTTTGGGAAATGTGCAAATGCAAAAATGATGGGGAATGATCATTAAAGAGGAAGAGCTATCTCATTTGTATGAGGGATCATGCATAAATGGAAGCACCCAGCTCTTAAGATACCTTTGGTTTCAGAACTGTACCTGGACAGTCATATTTGATTACTGGTTACTAAATTGAATCTACAAGTTGGTACTTCTCACTGGCAGAAATTCACTGATAAAATCTGAAAAATCTGACCCAGGTATTTATGAAAATCTAGCTTTGCAAAATTTCCAAGACTTTTTATAACCTTCACAGTATCACTAACATTCATATGCCTTACTTCTCGTGAAATTCATATATATATATATGCAAGAACTGTTTCAGTAGAATTTTAAATTTGTCCTTCCTTTCTCTCAATTTTTTCTTTTCCCTGTTTCCCTATGCAAGCAGAGAGATGCTTGTTAGGCTCTGAATAATACTACAGCGATGAGTGTCTCAGAAGTAAAGAGAAAATATCTATTCAATACATCAACACTCCGCAAATAAAATGAAACTGCCTTTATGTAAATGCATCAGTCTTAAAATACAGAGCAACTGCTATAGATCAATGTAAAACACATACATCAGAAGATAGCTAAATGAACATGGCAGAGCCCTTTTACATATGATCATGTCTTCCAAAAGGTTTTTTTTCTTCACAACTTATTTTGACTTATGAAACATTCACACAAACTGGCCTAAAAAACAGGGAAAGCTAAACTGAAATATCACAGTATTTATCAAAATCTTTTCATAAAATTCTCAAATTTTCACATGCAAAAAATTTTGTTGGCAACTCTTTCATATTAAGTCCTAGAGAAAACAGGACCAACACTACTCATCTTAGAAAGAGTCAACAGAAAGTAGTGTTAGTGAACACCACAATTTGGCCTGGGATTGACTTGTCTGCTGATGTCGGTCACCACTGGATGCAAACAGGCAGAAAGCAGGATTTGGCTTGCTGTATTTGACAGTGTTTTTTACAAGAATAAATAAATGACAAGCCTTAACTTATCTTCTTAGTCTCGAAGTTATTATGCTCAAGCTTGTCTTTTCAGGGAAGTAGTGATGTGACTCAATAACTTGTCTTTCCATCAAATTTCTTTTGCACAGTCCTGCAGGTGAAACGTTACCGTATGCTGAATCTTGCCATGAGCTCTGCGAGCAGACAGAACTGCACCTGACAATAATTTACTGTGACAAGCAAAATAGTAGTGCTTTAAATAACCTCTGGCAGGTAGCATTGGCTCCTAATCTACCTTGACCTGGGATGTACCATTTTGATTAAGATTTGTTACCTCATACATTTGGAAGGATTTGTAGGAGGGTTTTGCTTCAAGTCTTCTGCATAGATGTGATAATTCCTGTAATTAGGATCTTTATAGAATTTGTCTGAATTTTTTTCAACTCCTTAGGACTTTTTTGTTTATATTTTTAATTATAAATACGAAAAGAGACAGAGAAAAATTATGGAATCTTTGTGTTTTCAAGCAGTGTGATGAGGAACTGCATAAATGACAGGGCCCACCTCAATTAAAAATGGGCTGTTCTCTATCTGTAAAAACGTTAATAGTTAAGAGCTCCTTCAATGAGAAAAAGGTGTCATTCTTCTGTACTTACATTAACATAACACACACTATTTTCAAGCATCCTGTGTGAACTCTCTAGCCTTAAGAAAAAGAAATAATTTATTACAGACTATTTGGCATATTGCTTTTAAAAACCAGGAGATCTCATCCTGCTTTTTACATGTTGTCTTGCAACTTTTCACAGGATCACAGAACCGCTGAGGTGGATGGTGACTGCACCCCTCTGCTCAGAGCAGGGTCAACCACAGCAGGTTTCCTGAGACCATTTCCAGCCAGGTTTTGAGTATCTCCAGGGATGGAGATTCTCTCTGGGCAGCCTGTTCCAGTGTTCAATCACTGTTATGGTAAAAAAGTTTTTTCTTTTCTTTATATGGAACTCATCTTTAAAATAGCTCCCATTGCCTCTCGTTCTGTCACTGGGCCGCAATAAGAGCAGCCTGGCTCTGTTGGCTTTATTCCCTCCCATCCCATTTATACACATCAAGATCCTCCTGAGCCCTCTTTTCTCCAGGCTAAACAAACCCAGCTCTATCAGCCTCTCCTTGTATGTCAGATGCTTCAAGGCCTTAATTATTATAGTGACCCTTCTTTTATTAACTTTTACATATTTGAAATAAATTGTTTTGTTGACAAATCAACAAAAAGAGGTGGAGGAGGTAATGGTGACTTAAATATGATACATCTTTTACATGTATATATATTACTGTCCCATGATTAAGCTTATAGTTTTGCTTCATCTTCATTTTTACTTCTTTGAAATAGAGACTTACTCTAAGTTAATTAAAAATAGCTAATATCTTTGTCTTCTGTGTGGAAGTCCTGCAGTATAAATTCATTCTCTTGATTAGGTAATAATTCCCACTTTAATATGCACTGTACCTTGCTCCTCTTGACATATGAATCTTCTTCATATACATCACGGGAGAGGCCAAAATCCGAAATCTTCATTTTGCGCCCTTCTGCCACCAGTACATTTCTGGCTGCTAAATCACGATGGACAAGCTTTTGGAAGAAACCAACAATAGTCATGCTTCTTGTGGGGGAACAGACTGCTGACATGCCTGTCTATCACAAGGACATGCTCAGATCACTGTTACGCTGCCCTACCTTCATTTCTGCAAGGTACTGCATTCCTCGTGATATCTGCCATGCAAACGATATCAGATCTCCCATTGTTAAGGCTCTCTCATCAGGGTTATCCAAATAACTTGAATTTCTGTTACCATCACTACCCACGTAGCTTGGTCCTACTTTTCGACTTTCCCTGAGAAAACTGCGCAAGGAGCCATATTTAGCATATTCCACAATTAAATACAGTGGCCCTGAAATAAACAAACACACTGATAAGTAAACAATTAATAGATATCCATTTTCATTTTTTTCAAAAAAGTCTCTTCTAATCAGCGCATTGTTTTGAAGGGTCAGAAATTCCAGACACCTCTGGCCTTTACATAAAAGGCACTGAATCAGCCATGGAGTCATAGAATATTTTTAGCTTACATCCTCTATGCAAAGTGAGTGAGTTTCAATCTAAATCAAAGCAGAATTCAAGCTCTTACCTGAATGCCTACATTCCCTCATCTAATCTGAGGCTAAGAAAGAGACAGCCTTCTTACAAATCAGATCTGTGAAACAGTCTAACTTGGAGAAACTTCAAAAATAAGAAATCAAAATAATTTTCTGGAGTGTGTGATACTGAGCTCACAAATCACCTGGTAATTCGTGTTGTATTTAAGATGCCTTTTCAGAGCACTTAGAAACGTTTTGACATTTCAATCCATTAGTTTCTCCTTCCCATTACCCACATGAATAATACCACTTAGGGCTTTAATGATAAATACAATTGTCTGCTGTATCAAAGCCCTCCCACCTCATACGCTAATGAATTAACTTGATATTTATTAAAAGCCTGTGACTCAGAAACAATTCACTTCCTTTGGGATGAAAAAATACATTGTACTGAAAAAAAAAATCCTCCCCCGCCAGTTCATTACTGTACTAAGACTCAGAGATGACTCAGTTCTGAATTATATCCTTTGTCTACAACTAGAAGTGCCACCTGCGACAGAACTGGGTCAGCAAAGAAGGTAGGCCGTTGCCCAAGGTTGCAACATGCTTACTGGGATTTTAGGCTGCATAATTACAGATGCAAAAGGAAGAGGATGTTGCCATGCAACTTTGTTTAAAAAGAACAAAATTATTCACATCAGTTCCTATGCACAACAATGAAAATTTTCTTCATTGGCAGTTTATAATACATGTGTCTGAAAACTTTCCCCCTTGAAATATACCTTTTAATTACGTGGCTTTGAGCAACTATTTCACACAGGAGGGAGACAGTGGTTTTGTGACTGGGGATGAAAACTGAGTGTCAGTCTAACTATCCAGCTATATTTCAACAAAACGATCTGTAGGTTTTTTTTGGCTTTGTTTTTGTTTTTCAAAGGGAGATGTCACTCCCTGGCTCAGGCCTGAAAGCATTGTTTTAGTATGAATAATAAAAACAATAATGAAAATTCCATTAAACTTTAAATATAACTCATATTTGTAAACAATTGCTGAGCATCAATATAACATAAAAATACATACTGATTGGAGGAGAATTGGTAGTAGATTGGTTACATTTAAAATAGCTTCAGAATCAAAATGTGTATTGAAGAAAACCACAAATAATGCTTAGTTACACTGAATTAGCATTTCCCCTTCCCTTCAAACATTGCTTTTCTTATCTGTCCCTCATTTTTTCAGCCAGCAGCAAATTTAAAAGGTGCTCAGCAATTATTAAGCAGTGGTCCAAACTCATCAACGAACTGCTCTTTATTTCTTTGCTTGATGTTTTCATCTTAATAATGAGATTCTAATATTTACCATCTTGACTGCAGGCTCCATAAAGTTTGATGACATGAGGATGGTTCACCTGTTTCAAAAGGTTGAACTCTGAAAGCAGATCTCTCAGCTCGCTTTGGGAAGCATTTTCTGCAAAAAGTGTCGAAATACACAGTCATGGTTAGGAAAGCATTACAAAAGAGTTCTGTATGTACCATCAACCATTCTGTATGTATTGTCAACCATTTCTCCATCTACCATTTCTCCTGGAATTAGCAAGAGGTTGGAAAACCCCATACTACCCCACAGGACAGAAATTTCCCCATCTCCACTCTCCTGCAGTCATTCATATCAGAACCAAGTGAATGGGGCTGCTGCTCTTCTGGCTTGGTAAACTTGTTCTGATCATCAACCTGCCCTGATAAAAATGACTACAGAAAGAGTAGGTCAGCCAAGAATTAAGACAAGTCTGTAATGCCTTGCAGATGCCATGAAATTATTACAGACCTTTTCTAGTGTTCTAAATCAACATTTTAGGGTGAATCAGTGCAATCAAAGCTTCAGAAGCACAAAAAAGCTAAGATTTTATGATGATCAAAGAGACTTGCTCAGTTAACTCCTATGATATAGCCCTCCTCCTCCTAAATACATTTTCTGATGGAGTAAAAGTCTATTAATCTACTGGCTTACACTTGTAGCACACATCCAGATCTAAAGTTCAGAAGCTAAACATACAGTTCAGATTGATTTTACTGGGAGACATATGTGCAGACTTTGCTGATGTCAGTGAGAATCACATGACAATATATAGCCCCTAGAGGCTTTCTTGGCCTTTCAAGCATTCTGTTTTTTGCAGAATTCTTCTAACAAACTTCCTCTTTGAACGTACTGGGGCTTGAAGGAGATCCCTAGTCATAAAGACACCACAGGTCAGAGGTAACTCTTTTCCTACCTCATCCTTAATCTCTCTGACACACGGAACCTCCCTGGACAGTTCCTACAGAGTGTCATTACTGGGGAGTTGACAAGTATGTGGTCACCTTTAATAAAGGGCTGATAAAAAACAAGCTCATCTTCTGCTCTGTGATACTGTGCTGTGTGTTTTTCCATGAAGGCTGTAAGCACTAAAGGATGTATTTACATATCCATTTAAAACAAGTGTGCTAATAGTTTGCCCTGGTCATGATAAATTTTTGTTCTGTTCTACTGTGTTTGTATCTGCCATATATTATTTTACAGTCTGAACCTACACTCAGACTTCAGTCTTCTACCCCAGGGAGTGCAGTGTCTCACTACTGATGGTGACTGCAAAAAATATGCATTTATGTAAAACGGAACCGAACAGAATCAACTTAATGCCTGTGAGAAAGTCCCATTTTTCTAGCTCTGGAACTGTAGCATGTGCAAGAACAGAAAAAAGTTCCCCATGTACCATGCCTGTTTGTCTGCTGGAAAAACTTTGATAGTGTACAAATGGAGACAATTAGCTCTCGAAGCTTTGTGGCCCTTGTTTTTACAAATTGCAAATAATACCTATTTATCATAGAATCACAGAGCGGTTTGGGTTGGAAGGAACCCTAAAGATCATCTAGTTCCAACCCCCCTGCCATGGGCAGGGACACCTTCCACTAGACCAGGTTGCTCAAAGCCCTATCCAACCTGGCCTTGAACACTGCCAGGGAGGGGGCAGCCACAGCTTCTCTGGGCAACCTGTGCGAGTGCCTCACCACTCTTACAGTAAAGAGCTTCTTCCTAATACCTCATCTAAATCTACCCTCTTTCCGCTTGAAACCATTACCCTTCATCCTATCACTACCCTCCCTGATAAAAAGTTCCTCCCAATCTTTCCTGCAGGCCCCCTTTAAGTGCTGTAAGGCCACTATAAGGTGTCCCCCGAGCCTTCTCTTCTCCAGGCTGAACAACCCCAAGTCTCTCAGCCTGTCCTCATAGTGGAGGTGCTCCAGCCCCCTGATCATCTTCGTGGCCCTCCTCTGGACCTGCTCGAGTAGCTCCATGTCTTTCTTACACTGGGGGCCCCAGAGCTGGATGCAGCACTGCAGGTGGGGTCTCACCAGAGCAGAGTAGAGGGGCAGAATCACCTCCTTCCACCTGCTGGCCACATTTCTTTTGATGCAGCCCAGGATGCAATTGGCTTTCTGGGCTGTGAGCACACATTGCTGCCTCACATTCAGTTTTTCATCCACCAGCACCCCCAAGTCCTTCTCCCCAGGGCTGCTCTCAATCCACTCATGGCCCAGCCTGTGTCTGTGCTTGGAATTGCCCTGACGCAGCTGTAGGACCTTGTACTTGGCCTTGTTGACCTTCATGAGGTTTGCACAGGCCCACCTCTCCAGCCTGTCCAGATCCCTCTGGACTGCAGACACACAGCTTGGTGCCATCGGCAAACTTGCTGAGGGTGCACTCAGTCCCACTGTCCATGTAGCCGAAGTATTGGTTGGTGTTTTCCCTTTTAATTTTATCGCAATGAAGGCATTTGTATCATACAGGAGGTCAGGCTTAATTCATATGAGAAAAGTGCTAATAGTGGGCTGAAAAAATTATCGTTCTGTTCCTTTAAAACTCCATTCATTGCTCCAAGGCCATTTTGGCTCAGCTAATTACTTAACTGCTCCTTGTTCCTTCCCCAGTACATAATGCCAAGTTGACAAAGTAAGGAGAGGCCTACCCTGGTCTGTTCTTAAACACAGATTGTGCTCATCTACGCAGCTCAGGCAGCAGATGTCTTTTATGCAATAAGCAAGAGGCTTTCTCCATTAACATACTGGTATACATACCATTCCTTTCTAAAGATCAGGCAGTGTAGAGTCCCTAATACCTGGACAAATTACCCCCTTTGCATCTGTTACAGGGAAAGAATGGGTGATGTTAGCCTGATCCAAAACAACTGTTCTTTATATTTCCTGACAGCATTATAAAGACCAGTGTGAATGCAATGTTTCTTATACTTGAGTAGTCACGTGTTAACAGTAAAGTTAAACCAATAACAACAGATAAATATTTGCAGAATGACAAATGTTCTCCACAGTCAAGTTGGAAAATGGAATTTCAGGTGACTAGCTGCAATGTAATTTACATTACAAAGGGATTCCTTAAAGCCTGAAGTATTACTGTAAATGTCAAATCAGTTTATTAAAAGAAGGTGCTTAAAATAAAGAGTTACTCCTTTGCATTATCAATTCTGTCAATTCTTTCCTTCATAATAGCTAGGAAAAGCTGAATGTTAAATAATCTACAAGAAAAAGCAACATTTTTACCACTATGCCTTGGAATCTTAACTCAGTCACATGTTGATGCAAATGTGTTAGAAAAAGCAGTGAAACTAAGTGCACAAATAAATATGAAATAAAGTAATGACTAAGACTATTCTATTGATAGTGATACACAGGTCATTACTTGAGTATTACAAGTAATGATTAACTAGTCTTAGCTTCTGAAAAATCTTAGTTCCTAGACTTCCTCCGTATGACTTGTTCTCCACCAAACCTCTTGCAATGTAGGCATGCACTTCGTAAGGCATTTATTTCTTTGGTAAAATAATGGGATATGCAGGATCTTTGCTCTCAAGCAGCAGCAGATGTAGGGTTTTTTTAAAAAAAAGCTTGCATATAATAGAAATTGTAATAAGTAGTATAACATTTTCCTATAATGACATGTTTTGACTTATAAGCAGCAGTGAATAGTTGAGCTCAAGGTCTCATGTTATCATCTTATCGTTATCTAGGCATACTTTGTTTTCCCTAGCTTTAAAGTCTTACAGAAAACTGTAGAAACCAGGAGACAGCACTGGACTACTCAAGCTAGTCTGGCAGAGCTCCTAGTAATTGAAAAACAGATCAGAAAGTATAAAAGTTGATGGAATTCTCAATCAAAAAAGTAACTTAATAGGTCTGTTTTGCCTGTTGACATGATTATAACATGATTTATTTAAAAAGCTCTGTCAAAGAAAACTGGGTAGAGGGAAAAAAAAATCAGAAAGCTTTAACAAACCCTTGCAATACTTCCAACAATGCCAAACAAAATTAAATACATTTGCTATGTTAGGACAGGTTCCTTGCACATCATGAATCAGAATTACTTGTGGAAAATACTTAATTTGATCAATGTGATGCTAGCTCCTAAAGTCAGAAATCTGTCAGAATATAATGTAATGCTGGAAGAAATAGAGGCCGTGACACTGTTTCTTTTCAGCTGACCTTTTACTTTCGTGCTAGCCCCTCTTAAAATCCATTCAGATATTACAACAAATAGCTATCAAATCATTTCAGACCCAGATGGGAATGTACCTTTTAACATTTTCACTGCTACAGTGGTATAGCCAGCCCTTCCCTTGAGTCTGAATGCTGTTGCCTTGACGACCTTTCCAAATTCTCCTTCTCCAAGAGTCTTGCCCAGAACTAGGTTCTTCCGAGGGAATTCCCACTTTGGATCTTCCTGCAGGAGAGAAAAGGAATCCTATAAGATGAAGCAAGAAGAGGAGTGGCTAACTACACCTGAAACATTAATATTCGATAGGAGACTAGTCTTCAGGAATAGGTACACTTTACTGTACAATGGTTGGTTGCTCTTTTTATCAGTATCAGTGAATTCCTATAAAAGCTTCTGAATCTCTAGGTATTTTGCAAGTCTTTTCTTCCCATTAGCTTGAAAACATCTTCAAAACAGTCTGTACATGTAGTCTATGGATAATGGATTATATTACAGGTCTGGGAAGTAGGGTCCAAGTAAAAAATGAAGTGATAGGATAAATGCTTGCTTTCAGAATAACTGTAAATATGTTACCTTGAAATTCACAGAGAAGTAAAGCAGTTTTACACATGGAATAAAGCTTTCCCTTAAGAATTCAGAGACAACAATCCTTCTCTTATGAAATTAGTGTTATTAAGCCTTAAGGTTGCAAAATGATGACAGATGTACAAACCAGACAAGAATTTAAAACAGAGCACACGGTCTGTGAAGACCTCAATATTTAACATTCACATAGATTTGATGTTGCCACGTATGTCATATATAATGGCAGTGTTTCTCTACTGTGTTGGTCCATGAACCCACACCAGCTGGCAGGCATCCTGGGTAGTGATTCAACCCAGAAGAAACTCGATTAAAGGTATGATAGTATGACTAGGCAAAAGTCCTTAAAATGTGGGTAAAAATCCCATTCCAACTGACACCTACAGTCTGTATATCAGAACTCAGGAACAGATCTCAGCAGGATTTTTTGTTTTGTTTTAAACTTACCCTTGTTGTAGTACTATGGCTCATTGCAGAGACTACAGACCTGCTGATTATTAGTATTTAATTACAATATTAAAGTAAAACCACACTACTGTCAAATGCAGCATTACACTTAGAAAAATAGATCAGCTGAAATTAGACCTAAAATGTTAACAGTATATTAAAATATAATGAAAGTGGAGAATATACTGGCCTTACAGAGTAGATTATGTGGTTTATCCAATTAGTCATTAAGCGTCTTCACTTGCCTCCCTGTACATGTGATTTCCAATTTAGTTATTTGAGTTAGGTATTTCTATGAATAGATTACATTTCTGTAACATTTTCTTCACGCATAAACAACATTCTTTAGGAACAAGACAAACATTGGAAAAAGAGCATGCAAAATGACATCATACTTACTGGTATTTTAAAGGTGTCTACAGAGACCTGGTTCTCCATGGAATCTAAAGAAGGCCGGCGGACATTAGTGGAAGAATAACTGATGGGGTAGGACTGGGCTGGGCGCCGGAATGTCATTTCTGCAGAAGCTATAGGTGGCTTCGGAGAATTCTTGTGGTAACGATGGATGAAATAAGAAGAAAGCAGCACAGAGATGATGAAGGACAGCAGCACTGCCCCTGCTATCACAGTCTTGCACACGTCATCACATAGTTGCTCTGTGGACCAAGAAGAGCTTCTTAGAACTTTGCTTGTTGTCTCCTGCTTAAGATTTGGCAGTGCATATAACGCACACAGAAACAGAACTCAAAAAAATTTAGAAACCTAGAGGAAAACTTAATAGCTAATTCTCAATGAAATTTGAGAATTTTCAAAAACACCCACTGCACCTACCAATTCTTTTTTTATTTTGGACACCAGCAGGCAATTGTTTGCTTAATTGCCTGTGTAAATGTAAGGATAGCTAGCTTAACTCCATGTTCCTTATCTTTATAGATGTAGACTACTTCTGACACTCAATTCTTTAAGACCCAGCCTACCATATATTGATCTTCTGATAGCACTTACCTCTCTGGAGACCTATAACTGAATTTTGCTTACGGACAACAGTGTATGTTAGAGCAATTCAACCCATCAAATAAAATCTTTTTCATATATGAATTTAATTCATTATGTCAGTCTTTAGAAGTTAGAGACTATTTCTCGTCATCTTTTTAGATTACAAGGAGACTTGGAATATTTCTGCTTTGTATTATCAAAATAATTATTTCTGAAAACATTGCCTAATGCTGCAACAGCTCCTAAAGCAATATGCATTTTTTTTCCTCCCCATTGACTATTTCCTCTTTTGCAGAAGCACTTTTAGTGTCTGTCTTTGGAAACTAAGTTACTTTAAGTCTAAGTGCCCCTATACAGCATCCCTAGGGGGTCACTTCCCAAAGAAACTGAGAGATCCAAAATACTGTCCTTTTCACTATTGTTCATCAGATAATCTTGACTTCAGATACATAGTTAACTTAACTACATCTGCAAGCTGTACCTCAGAAATAAGTGGAAATAGCACAATACCTTTCTAGAATGGTGGGGGGAGGGAAAGAAAGAAAGAAAAAGAAAAAAAGATAAAGCAAGAAGCTTTATGCTTCCTCTTTTTCTTATGCTCATAGAAAATTTACTCAAAAGAGCAAATTGAGATATATTCTAAATAATTTGGTTTTAGAGATGCAAGATATTTCATGTTATGTTTATTATTGGCAATAATAAAAACTATTAAAAACCATTATTTAATACCTATCAATCTGTTTCAAACAATTGCATAAAACCTTTCTGTTTAAACAAAGGTCAATGAAAAAAATAATCCACTCCTCCTCCTAACACAATGGGCGCTGGCTATCTGACATTTGGAAGCTGAGATTTTCAGAAATTATTAGGAAGCTGGAATTACTTGAAAGTAATAGAAGTCATTATTCTAATTCTCCTAGCCATCTTTGCAAATATCAGGTGAATCTCACTGAAATGCAGATGCTGCTGGAAATCAATGGACAATCAACCTGTTTGTCATGTAGTAATGGATAAAAAAGAATCTTTAGCCAAGGCTAGAAATAATGCCCTCTGGAAATTTTCGGGCTCCATAGTAGAAGTCAAGGTGCCAGTTCTTAATTAATTTTATATTAGCAGTCTCTGATCAAAGATATGCTTATTAACATACCCACAATTTTAGATCACTGTATATATACAGATGGTAGATACAAAGGGAGGAAAAGATATATGACAACAGCAGATAATGTTTAGACTTACCCTTTATATCATCTTTCTCACAATAACAGTTCTGTCTTGGGAAGCAGTAACAAATCCCGTGTCCTGACTTAATTCCAAGATTTCCAATGCCTTTGCCGTGACCACCAATAATGTTTCCACCTGATCAAATACAGACACAAGCTAAGATTCTCACATATCAATGAGGTCATCTTACATTTTAAAATTCTCCCTAAAATATCTTCTCTAATCTACTTATTTTAGTCTCTCTCCACCATTGTCTTAGGTATCTTTTTACTCATGAGTTGATGTACAGTCCAGTGGTACGGACCAGTGGTCTACATTCCTGAGTTCCATTCCTGGTTCTGATGCCAATTTCCTCTTACCTTGGAAAAGTCAGCATACTGTTCTAGGTATCATTTGTTCCATTGTCAAATGGAGATAGTGATACTTAATCGCGCCTGTAAAATGCCACAGGATAGTCTAGTGAAAGCGCTAAGAGTAAGTGCCAAGTGTAAGTGATAAAAAATGAATCTTTAATTATTTGAAAACCCATTGTTTAATATTAGGAAAAAAAGTGCAGAAACTCATACAGAACTACTCTTGATTTCAAAGAGGCATTCTTCACGCAGAGTAATTGCAACTGTATTTCCAAGTAAATAACTTGTTTTCTGCATATATCATAAAAATGACCATTAGTTGTGACATTTTTCATCTATAAACTGCCTTTAATCACAAAAAGCATTGTACAGACAGAAACCAATCAAGTTCTGCAAGTTTGTCAGCCTTTCAGAAAAATTGCCTAAACTATAAAGGGATTCAAAAGATGAACAATTTTTTTTCAATGTAGTCTTCTTTTTATTTAAACTGATTTTCCTCCATCCCATCTAAGCAGATAGTAGAGCACATGACTGTTTCTTTTACATTTCTTGGGATGTGTAACACGGATTGAGGAAGAGAATATTTTTTGGCAACAAAAAGGCAAACAGCCTTTTTTAGAAGTAAAACAGGGACTTGAGTATTTAAGCAAAATAGATTTTGACCATCTTTCTAGAGAGGCCATACTTACTAAATTGTATGCAGCTCAGTGGTTAATTTTGGAAGAGACTGTGCTGAGTCACTGCTCTCAGAGCTGACGCTTGTTTGAAGAAGCGTCAGTGTTCCGAAAAATCCTTGATTATCCCCCCACCAGCCAACTTTCTCTATTGTGAAGAGGTGATGAAATAAAGTTTCCATTAGCCTTAGAAAAATCATACATATATATCTGTATCTGCCTATGTTTGAGGACCTGGAAGAAGGGGGAAGCAGGGGATGAGCAGGTCCTATCTAAACTGTTTTTGAGTGAGGAATTTGAAGACAGAGGGTTTTTTACACAGCTGGGAAGGAAGGAGTACATTGTCACTGCAGGTGTACATTGTAAACATGGACCTTCCTATATGCATACCAGAGACCCAAAAATGTATTTTTCACCAATGCAATGCTGGCAGGGACATTCCAAGAGTTATCAATATTGTTTTGAATTGTGTGGTTTCACATGCTGCTGTTTTAAATCATCAGCTGTTTCCATTGCCCTGTTGTGGGAAAAAGCTTTCCCTGCTTCGAGGTCATTCAGAAAAAGGAAAAACTGTGGTCCTATCCCACACCGCATAGAAACTCCAGAAACTGAGAAACTAAAACACTGGTTGTTGGACAAAAACCAAAGATGACATCTGACTACTGCTGTGACTACAAAAACATAAAAAGTAAGATAGAAGCCTAAGCACTATATTTTATTTTTTTTTTCATTGTCAGAAAGCCAGAGCTCAGAGGAACCTACAAAGATCAGTCATTCACAAATGGTTAGCCAGATTCACGCACTGCAAACAGCCCTGAAGCAGTTACTACAGGAAAGTCTCTTGCTTAGCGTGCAACTAGGTTACCTCTATATGATAGGCACAGCCACAGCACCAGTAGCTTCAGCTGAGTGCCCTTGAATGCAATATTCGTAGTGTTAGCATGAGAAAGCGATTTTGGGACTTGAGTACATAGCCATCATAATGATAGTTGAATTACAAAAATAAATATTTTAGCAACTGTCTGTACTTAAAGAATATCCTTGTTCTTAACACATCTGGTGCTTTCTATTTATTGTTTGCGCTTCCCAAAGAAATGTCCCCTGACAGTAAAAGCTGATATAATGGTCCTCCTGCAGCTCTGAGCTCCCCAAAAAACCCCTCACTTCTTTGTCTGTAAATATTCTGCTGTTGGGCACTAGCTCAGGTTCTGAATTGTGTCAAATTATGTATAAAATTATCCAACTCAGGCATTAAAAGGCATACATAACATCTTGAAAGCTTGTCTTACTTGCCTGCTTGAATTATCTAATAAGATAGTATTTCTTTCAGGCTTCTGCTGAGTAAAACATCTGATGCTGCATATATTGCATATTACATGTTTTAACATTGCAGCCTCTGGCACAAATACTTCCCCTTCTAGAATGGCAACTGATTGCGGTTATTACCAATAAAGAATTCTTTTCAGATGATGAGGGAAGTTACTTGCATTTACTTCAGCATTTCTGCCACTTTAAGTATTGTTTTTATGCACTTCAATGAAATAATTATCTCTGTGATAAAAGTCACTTACAATACGCAATACCATTCTTGCATGCAAGAAATACAAAGGTGCCTCTTTATTCATTCATTTTATAGAAGAACATAAGTCCTAGCCCGTAAGAAAACACTAGAAAATTCCTCTAAGACTCCATTTTAAAATGTAAACTTGGAGTATATGATGTCAGAGCCAGGAGAGTTATTCAAGAAACATCTATGTCTTTATTCCTGAATTAGATACTAATAGATAAAAAAGATCAATTAAAAATTATCATCTCCTAGAAGACTCAAATTGCTCATGCTGTGATTTTGTGATTCTGTGAAGTGCAACACACTGTTTTTCTAACTTCTGTGTCTTCAGGGTGATTTGTGAATTTGCAGGTATGAGCAGGTATGTGAGTGGAATGTAGAAAGATGTGGTCAAGAAAAAACATAAATGCGTCTCAATTCTTCCTTCATAAATGCTGTTCATATGAATCTCTGCCTGTATCTTCAAATAGATAAGGCATTAGATCATTTTGATGGTCATCTGTCAAATAAGGCCAGGTGCATTTTCCCAAATGATCCTCTGTAAGTATGTTTATTTTCAATTGAAATTTGTTTCTTCTTACTGAAATTTGAGTTCAAATAGGCATGGTTTCTATCATATTGTGCTAAAGTTTAGAAATAGGGCATTAACTTGCCTAAAACCTGTATCTGTTTCATCAAATACCTTCACTGAAAAACACTACCTGCAAATTAACAGGGGGAACAGAATGAGAATTATTGAGCAAATCTTATCTTTCCCTCACTGTCAGCCAATACGTGTTGGCTGACTGGCTTAAAAAAGACCAAGGTTAGTCCCTATAGCCTTAACTCTCTTGTATGATTCAAATGCAGGTATGACAATATAGAGATGCTAAATATGTTGAGCTTGTAAAGGTATCTTGGATCAAGAAAGTGGAACTTGAACAGTGATCAGCGGTGACACAGAAAAGCCCGTCCTAAAACATTTCCGTACTTGTGCAGTCTTGGGGGCACACAGCCTGATCTTTGCTCTCAATCACATCACAGGTGCCATCTGGACAAGTCTTGATACTCGGGGTGCATGTAGAATAGTTTGTGGTGATCCCTGTTAACACAGAAACAGACAGCTGCACAAACACCACGAGGCTTTGCAGGAAATCTTACTGCATCTTCTCAGTGCACATGGACACACAGGTTACTTCTTTTAAAATAAACATCTGTGAATATAAATATCATCTGCTAAAGTAACAGGCAAGACAACAGCTACAAGTAACTGGAAGAAATATATTTTTCACTATATTTTCTACTTTTGACAGCCCTTCGGGCATGTCAGCATGTCACTTACAGTTACAGTATTACTTGAAAAAGAGCTAGCTGACCATTTTGAAACTGAAGAGTGGCTTTCACGACAAAGATGTCTCTACACAATTTCACACATACTTGATTATGAAGGTTACAAGTAGTTGAAGAGAATTTGTAATAATCATGCAGTTTGAAGGGATAAAGCATCAGCACAGAAGCATTGTTCTGGAAGAGTCAAGAGTACTGTCACCCATCAGATCTGTGCTACAGACCACAGAAAACAGACACTGCATCTGTGCTCACGAACTGTCTGCTGGGGCATACCTGCTCAGAGGCTTTTTGGTATGTTCCAAGCTCAACTTGTGATCGCAGAGATCATCTTGCAAGCCACAAGTCAACCATTCCAGTTACACTGCTGCAAACCAGTTCACTACCTGATGCTTTACATATAGTGTTCAACATCAGCAGGGACAAGATCAAAAATGACCATTCCAACTTAACCTAATTTTCTTTCCTAGTGCATGCTTCATTTGGGTATTACGATTAAACTTTTTAGCCCCAGCTTCTGTGTAGTGTACTATACCATGTTGTCCAGTCAGAATAAATCAGTTGATATATATGGAAGTCAAATGCACAATTACCACAATTATCACAGGAGCTTGATTTCACACAACAGAAATGTACCTTTTCCACTCCCCTGTCTCCACTGGCATCTTCCTGTTAGCACCCCCAGGCCACCACACTCTTCACATTCAGCACGGTGCTTACTCACAGCACAAGAGTCAGGGCAGTCCTCTTCTTTTTTTAAAACTGTTGGGAAAAGTGTTTGCTGTCAGTTCAGGATGAAGGATATGAATACATAAGCAAGGCAGCTCAAATTAGAAGGAAAACTTCATTCTTAGGAAGGAAAGTAAGATGAAGAATGAAGAACTGAGTGAAAGACTGAACACTGACTGACCCAACTATCAGTAAACTTAGACAACAATTAAAGAAAAGTCCAAGTATTTATCTTTTATGTCACAGAAGAGAAACAGCAAGATCATGATGTCATGGTTATCTTTGCTTGATAGCACACCATCAATGCCCAGAACTGTAGAAATGGGCTAACATACTGATAACAGAAAAATGGACACCATTAGTACTTCCAGCTTCATACAAAACTTTTGATTACAGGAAAATACTTGGGCTAATGCAGTAGTAGCCCAAAGAGCACCAGCTAAAAATGTGTGATTTCAGACAGCACAAGGCTCTTGCAAAAACAGAAGTCCACTACAGGCTTTTGTTTCTTCTTCCTCAACCCATTTGCTCTTGGCATAGTTCTGATAATGATAGAAGGGAACAGAGGCAATTATCACATAGAATTGTAAGGTTTTTTATAAAGTGTGATATGGTTTGGTAAGAAATTATTCTGTTTCCCATGTAATCCTCCTCTGCTGTGATTCTTATAGAATATTTCTAACATTCTGCCTTTATGAACTTTTCAGTAAAATGAAGTCAGTGCAATTGCTACATGAATATTAAGAATTTTTTTTTTTTTAAGAAAAGGAAAAATTGGAGAGAGAAGTGGGGAGAAAGATGACAGAATAAATATACTTAGGTCAGAGATTTGTGGTTTTGTGTGTGTGTGTATATATATACATACACACACACTTTCTTTTTTATTCCACAGGAATATGTGAAATACAAAATAATGGTCACACAGACATACAAAAAAAGATTCTTCTAAATCAAACGTCATTATGAACATTAGGAATTGCATATGATACGCAACCTTTCTGTGCATTAGTTCTTCAAACAAAAATCTCCTACAGGCAGGCCTGAATCAGAACTCAAAATGCAAACTTTGCGATGTGTATCTTGTAACTCAGACTCATTTTCATTGTTAAAGCTATCAGTTTATAGATTGTCCTACTAATGCATCACCTAATAGCAGTAACACATGAAAATAAGTATATAATAGTTCTAACTGACTTGGGTACTTACGAGTTCCCTCCAATAAAACAGTGAGGAGGGTTTTGGTATGTTTCCTGCTCTGCTTGTCTGTAGCTTGAATAGTGTATTGTATTTCCTTGCATTCGGGTCTGTGCAGCACAGAGGAATCATTCACATAAAGGCTTCCATATTTGTCTTCTCGCCCCTGAAGTATGCTGACAGGATAGCAGCTTACATTGGGGGACAATAACTTGTAGGTGATGTTCACACCACGGAATTTCATACAGTTTTCAATGCAGATTCTTCCTATCTAGGCTCAAACACCAACAAAGAAATCAAAGACAACAGAAACAAAACTATACATCAAACATATTCTGTGCTTCCCAAAAATATCTGAAAGAAAATTGAGCATATTACACCTTGCAGAGTTTGGCATTTATCTTGGGTTAACAGATTTTATTTTTTACTACAAATGCAGTACATGAATGCTTCAAATGTGATTTATTCTCAGTATAAACGAGAGGTGAAGCATTACCATTGTCTTCAGGCTAACAGTGGAAATACAAAAAGCCTTGACTCAGTGATATTTGGTGCCTACTGCTGATGGTCAGCAGCATTCAGTGAGAACAAGACCCTGTGGTTTGGGAAAGTCTGAGTTCGGTGCCTGCTTTGTTCCAGGCTGATTGGTGAAAAAAACTTTGGTCTTGCTTGAGCAAGTAAAAAGCTCAGTGTGAACAAAGCTGAGACTCTTTTCAAATAAGACAGAAATTGCTAATACATAATTTTCATAATATTACAGTCAAAAGGTTTCTAGCCACCAGAATTCTCTGAAAGCCTTAAAAGGAATAAGAAACTCATTGTTTCCCATTAGCAATTTTTAAAACATTTTCATCTAAAAATGAAAATACATTGGTTTGCCATATTGGAGCTTCTGCCTGCCAGAATATCTAAGCTAGAGCACTCTTCAGTCTGAAACAATTTATCTAAGAAGCAAAGGAATGTAAAGCCCCGTCTCCTACAGGAACTGATCCAAAGATCACTTTGGATTTTCCATTTACAAGAGTGGGATTCAGATCAGGCCCAGAGGCACTGGCTTGCCTTGCAAGAGAAAACCACAATATGAAGGGTGGGGTGTTATTGAAGGGAACTTGGTGACGGATTCTTTTCAAATGCTGCAGTTAAGATGTGTTTTCAAGTAACAGCACTGCTGGTAAAAGCATATCTGTACATCTTGGTTTTAGCATTCTTATTAAAGAATGAAAAAAAAAAAAAAAAGTTTTTTTATATTAAGACCTCTTCCTACGAACCTGGACTACTTAAAGCCAGAGAGGAAGCTTTTGCATCCTAGAAGCATACTTTGCCATAGAATAGTCCCACTTCATCTAACTTACTCCCATTCACTGACTGGTCATTTGGCACCATTTTTGTTGTGTTTTTTGGTGGCAGGATAACATACAAAGGCTATTAAAGCAATTAGAAGCCCTTTCTTCCACACTGTCTCCTTTCCACAGCATGCTGTGACTGGCAGGAAGAAAAAGGAGTAAAGAAAAGACTTCATCTGTTCACAAACTCTGTCTAGACATAAGGTCTAGACAGGTCACTTCCAGAACCACATCATCTTCGCTGCATTACAACTGGCAGCATTTTGCAACTGCTTAGATGGTGTTTCTTTGAAGCAATAGGAGAGCATAATGATATTCCATAGCATTAACCTTTATATAGACTAGATTAAACTGTCCTTTCTATCTACTCTGTTGTAACTGCTTTTTCCAGGCACCTTTTTGATCAACATAAATTTCCTGCAAAGGGGATGGAGAAGACCCCATGAACTCAGGATGCCTCAAGAGCAGATTGTCCTTACAGTAGTTCATGGGCCAGTTTTACTTTCTCTGTACAGTTTGAGGAGAAGCTAAAAATGCCCCCCTTAAGAAATTTCTACATAGGCTTTGTCTTTTTGCCTGATTCCACTAGGGAAAGCCCAAGCTTGTCACCTTGCTCTGCACCACAGTCTCTGGAGTCAGCACAGCTCTCGGATGCAGCAAAGCACAGCCCCAGGGGAAGGAGGTAGAAGCAGACAGTTCTTTCTCAGGAGGGTGAAAAATAGCCTGGTAATCAGGATTAACATCAACATACAGGGGAGGAACCTACAAAGGTGCATTTTCCAAGACTCTCAATAGTTAACACAGAAATACTATTATCAGAAATAGGAACAGAAAAATCCACCTTTTGATCACCAGAGTTTAATAAAGTCTAGATAATAATGTTCCTCTTCACTGAATTCCAGGGACATTTGGACATATAACCTCTCTAAAAAGCTCAGTCGATGTTATTCATCATTTGTCTCAGTGAATGTCAATAGAGCTTTAAATCCTTTGATAAGTTAAATGCCACTGGGCAAGCCTGTACCATCAGGCCATGCTTCCATTATTCAATTCATTTAGCTGCTCAAATAGACAAATGGCATCAGCCCAGCAGTTAATCATTTCTTCACGCTCTTGTGTTTTCCTCAGGGCAAGAGACAGTTCAGCCTTCATATTGATTTGGCCCAGTAGTTTTCCTCACTGCTCTGGCACATCACAGCTAATTATGCAGATGACTTTAATAATGTGAAGTGCTGGGGACTAAGCTGCTTACATTGACTTGTGCTCCAAGCCAAGCACGCTGTAAATTCAAACGCAGTCTCTGAAGTAAGTGAATGACTTGAGAACATCATCTCCAGAGCCAGGATGAGTTCTGCACTTTGATGGTCAAGAATCAGAACAAATTCTCTTTGTGAATTTGTGTTCAGGCAGCACAAAGAAAGATCTCTTCCTACGAGGAGTTCTTGCCAGGAACTGTTTTCCCTGCTACTACTGCCACCCAGTGAAAACTGCAGTTAGCGGGAAGCGCTGTTGTTTCCAGAAACCCTAGAATTCCCTTTCAGATGTTTGACTGTCCTGACAACATGCAAAACCAGGAGCTTTAGAAGTTTTTTTTCTGTTTTGCATTCTGGAACTAGAAAACCACATACTCCCAGACTTCAAACAAATGTGTTCAAACAACCTAGGGCATGCACAGATAAACATGATTTAACCAGATTTAATTTGGAGCTGATTCACTCATAATATTATTGTATGCATACACCTATATACAAAATCTGTGTGTATATGTACACATATATATACACACACATGCACACACAAAAAAATCCAATTAATTTATCTATATTCATACATACCTAACAGTTAAGTTTCATACTTTTTACAATTACAGTCATGTTGTGACATACATACAGTTGGGGCCCATTTCTAGATGCTAAGAGCTAGACTACAAGTATCTTATAGACCTATGCTATTATTTCTTTTAGGGAGAAACCCATAGGTTTCACCCTATCTCCAGGGAAGGGTTTTTTACACCACTGAGAATAAAGCTTTTACAATGAGGTATCACAAAAAAACTAAACCTAACATCAAATACATTGTGATCTGCACAAAAAGCACAGAATATGCTCTGAAGTTTCTAATAGACTGCATACTTAAAAGTTACAGCCACAAGGCCTCGCAAAATACCATAAAGAAGTAGCTTTTTGTAGGGAGCCCACTATGTGAGCACACTTGGTATCTTTTCTCTTATTTAGGATATTCAGTACAGACTATGGGTAAAATGTCCCTTGACGAAGCAGTAGCATTTTTATTGATCATGTTAAGGGCTGTTCCGTCCTCTGAAGAGCTATCAAGCCATAGTGCATTTCATCAGATTAAATATAAGAACGTGCAATATAGCTAACTCTCCTTTCTTTTTACAAGTGGCCAGGGGCTTACAGATAAATGAAACTGAATTCTTCTTAGAAGTCTTCCAATGAATTGGTTTTCTCTGCAATTAGGATGATCATATTTTAGTCTCAGTCCTCCTCTCTGCTACAAATACAGTAGCAGTTTTATAGCTTTATTTAATTATGAGGTACACTTTCCAGAAGCTCTCCCAAAATGGCTCATCACTGGTGTTTTTAATATTCACTTTCATAACATTAATTATATTAAACTAGTTCCTTATTAATGTACATGTTCCATAGGAATTACATTGTAATTTTCACCTGATTAATGTCAACCTGTTAGAAAATGTTTCTGGAAGGCATTATTAACGGCCATGGTGGTGATGAAGCTAAAATGAGGGTTAAATTAGGAAACACATTAATTACTAACTAGCCATTATCTAGAGAAAAGCCATTAATATACTGGAATATGTAGAGCTGGGACTCCAATAGCTGGGACAAATTTCTTTTTTTGCCTTTAGTATTTTTCCAGTTATTTATGCCTAAGCCACTCATGGTTGCAAGTGCTCCTGTCTATAACACACATTATTTATCTCTATCAATAACTTCCATGTGTGGCCCCTCCTCTGTTATTCAGTGATGGGAGAGCTAGTGTCCAGTCTACCTGCTATCCACTGCATCCAGCAACAATCATACTGATACCACATTTTTCACTGATTCTACTTAAAACAGCTAAAACCAATGCCTTAATGCATCTCACCCCAGTGATCTATCTAATAAGCTGTGTCTCTAACAGAGAGTGAAATTAATAAAGTTCTTACTTGTGCAAAGCGTTCAGCATTTCTGTTCACTGTGAACTGGTAAGTCATGTTTGGAAACTGAATGCTGACAGGGAGGATGGAGACATTAAAATGAAGCATCACCGATCTTTCTGGACCATGAAATTCTGTGTCATTCACCAAAACATCCAACTGGAAGGAACGATGCTCTGTGACTGAAATACTTTTATTCAGTACCAGTTCTGCAAAGGAAAAGATTAGTTTATTACCAACCCACATTATATGCAATCCCAACAAAACTATACATATCAAAGGTATTCCTAACAGGAAACAGAAGATGAATTAAATATGAAAATATGCTCCTATGCAGTTGTGTTCTGTGCCATTAAAGATGTTTGGAGACGTGCTCTTCCCTTCTGCCTGTCTTGCCGAGAACCCTAGAATCAGAACCTCTTGCTTATCAGTATACACAATATCATCCAGTACGCTCCCTATCCCAGAGATGCACAAACTCCATTTTTTCAGTATACATTTAAAATTCAGCGTTTGCTTAACTTGAAATTTCTCAGCTTTCCTTGGCTCAATATATACAGAATGCCTGGAAAAGTTCAAGATCTTATTGGTCAATTACTAATGAGCAACTTTTCCTTTATTTGAAGAAAGGGGCCTTACTGTACTCATGTCGAGTTCCCCGCACTTGGCTGCCATTTGGGCTGAAGTGGATTTCATCAAAGATGTGCTCTACCCGAAATGTTTCACTTATCCAGGGATCGTCAGTAATGATGGTTCCTGTGTATTTCTTTCTGCTGCTTTCAAGGGGATAAATAGGTGTGGTGTCTGCATCGTACACAGTTAGCGTTGCAAGAACAGTTCCCTAGAAAAAAAATAATAAATAACTCTGCTGAATGATCTGAAGCTTTCTTCCACTGATATGTGTTTGTGAGGTTCAGATATTGGTCAAATAAAACCTTACAACTTTCACTCAAGCCCACTTTCATTCAGATTCAACCACTATTTCACACCTATCTGGATTTGAATTAGAAGCTCAAAAGATGATGTCAGTGAAAACGAACTTGTCATAAAATCATTTGAATATGTCTAAACACAGTGCTGAACTTTTGAGGTAGGAAATGAGTGCACATGCATAGCTCAATTTTTTTCATTTTTTAAATCAATGTTATTCTACAATACCAGTAAAAAAAGAGGTAATATGCGCACTTAAAAGACATAAAATGTATTCAGACGGGTCAAATTCATTACCCAAATGACAGAAGGGACCTGGGTTGTCTGTCTGCTGATTGGTCTACTAGATTGCTGTTCTCTATCTGGACACTGAAACCACAAGACCTTTAAGACTGTTATTAGTAATTATGTTGTTTCAAGTTCATTTATTTACTAGAAAAGGCTGAAATTATCAAAAGATAATGCTTTTTTTTTTTTCCACTGCAAAATTCCAGTGAAATTCACTATGTTCTGAACATTTTGCAGGCACATAATTTCAAAGAGAATATTTGACTTTATAAAACAGTTGTATGAGACCTTCACTTTCTATCACTCAGAAGTAAATGAAACTCCCAAATCTCAAAAATTCCAAGAGAAAAAAGGATTTACTTTATGCCCAGGCAAATGTGATGTTCATAGGTGTCTTGTCAACTCTTGGTCTAGTCGGGAGGTGGCAGCAAACTCCCAAAAGCATTCTTTTGCTTTCCAGACACATATTTGAGCAAAATGTACCTTGAAGGGAAATTTGACTACAAAAAACCAATGATGTTGTTCTGAAATAGAAGTCCTCTCACAAAAAAAGCATCATTTAGGCCCCAAAAGAGGTGCCTTCTCTATACCATTGACTATAAGGGTCGTTGCCCTGGTGGAAGAGCCAAAGAGCCCACCTCTATAAGCTTCTCTACGAAAGCAAAGGGTGTACATGTATGGGGGTCATACACAGACACCCAAGGTTCAGACCTCTTGAAAGATCACCTTGGTGCAGTAACAGAAAAGTGGGAGGGCACCATTAAAGCAAGATCCTGGAGCTCTCCCTTAACAGCCTGACACTGCAAACTTTAACACTTTTGCAGGTGCAATGTTTGTTTGCAGAAGGCAACCTCTTCTTCCAACTTTCTGTTACTGGTACAGCATCATAATAAGTGTTCTGAATGTAGCTCTGATATCTTATATAGATTTGCATATATGGGGAGGACAGACACATACGCTTCGTCTAACAATGCTCAATTTTAGTCACCTAGGGGAAGCAACCCTGTAACAAATAAAGAGCAGAGCTATGTATGCGGAGATACGGCGATCCTGACCACAGCCTCAGCAATGGTCCATCCTAGCCTCAGAAACTGCTCACGTTTCTTTACGTTGTTTAATTCTTAACCCAAACTCTTCTTTCTTTGGGGTCTGAATAAGATATAACTTGGGGGAGAGGAATCATACAAACTCAGCATTTTACAATCACAGGTCTGTAGAATATGGTCTGGTGATGCACTTGTTGCTGAGATCCATCACCCAGAGCACAGTGTTTCCCAGTAATCATGCCTCCCGGCGCTGCGTTCCTACTTCAGGGACTAGATAAAGGAGAACATTACCTCCTTCCTGAACAGCATCTGCAGTATCAGTGGCGTTGGGAAGGAAGGGAGGAGAGTCATCTTCATCTAACACATTCACCAGGAAGGGCACCTCAACCTGCATTTCCCTGAAGCCTTCTCTCACAGTACATTTGGCAATCAGCTCATATCTCTCTCTCTCTTCTCGATCTAGGCGCTGTGTCACACTCACACCGGTGGTGTTCTCATTGTATTGAAAGGGCATACCTTCAGCTGAAAAACATAGCCATAGTATTAATAGGGACAATCATTTCCCATTATAGGACTCTGATAGTTTTCTTCTTTAATAACTCTTTTGCAATCCAGTAAATCCATTTGGACACCATAACTGCATGATAAAAGGCAGACTCAGAAGTGAAACAAAAGGAAGTTGTAGGCTTATATTAGGGTAGGCAGAAAACATGGAATAAATAGATGGGAAGACCCTACAGTCTAGAAATAGCACAATTTAAAGCTCAGGATATTTCAAGTCTGCTCTTAGCAGGTGCAAACTTCTAAAACCAGTCTTTTCCTTAGTCCTCCTTCCCGTCCCCTCTGTGTATCTCAAAGGCAGAATCTTCAGACTCAGTTCACGTTCGCAACGGAATTTCCTTTATAGAATCTATCTAGAGGATCTACTACAAAAAAGATCTTGACAGTGCAGCTGTTTACATCTATTGCTGGTACACGAATGGCTCAGTTCCAGTTTTACCTGTCAGCAGTTTGTAGGAAATACTGAGATTCTGACACAGATGATGAACTGAGGGTAACTGGAGCTGATGAAATGTGCCAGGTGGTTTGTTCTCCTTGATGTGAAAGGAGAGATCCATTTCTGTGAAGCAAAGCTGCCTTGCTGTGAGGGAACTGCAAGCTGGTGCAGTAGCATTGATCAAGGAGACAAAAACAGTGGTGCGCGTAGCAGAGTCACATTCCTTCTCTTGGAAGGGGTGGGATGAAAGGAAGACATAAAGCATCACCTTTGATAATGACATCCAGTTTCCTACAGCTTCAGAAAAAAGAAAAGAAACACCATAAGAAATATTTTACAAAAGGTAACATTTCTTTTACTCATTTTGTACTCTAGCCCATTATTCCACAAACAACTATATTGTCCTATTCTGTAATAAAACAATTCTTCAGTAAGTCATCTGCTGGTGGGAAGACCTTAAATCTTAAAAGCTTCAGTGAGCCAAAAAATTATAGGTGTTAGCACCAACTTTACATTGTAGAACCTCACAGAACGATATCAGCATTCTGTCTGTAAGACAGTGACATAAAACAGGTCACTATTAGTAATCAGCTTTTTGATAGGACTGGTTTTTGGAGGGACTAGAACAGAGTGGGGTGGCAGCAGGGGAAAAAAAAAAAAAGAGTATGTGGAATTGCCACAAATATTCAAGACAGACCCATAACTACTATAATTTAAGTCACAGCATTCTGATAGTTTATACTAGTTGAGTATATGGGCCAAATTGTTCATGTTTAGAGGACAAACTGCCTCATCATTTTGAAATATAAAGAGCTGGTCAAAAGATAACACAGAAGTTAAAAATCAGTCTGTGGCATCTACTAATACACCCTCAAGCCTTAATTATTTTTATTACCTTGGTGTGACTACAGATGATAGTATCTCTGTAACAGATCTAAATCACTTGAAAAGATGCTCTAGGTCACTTTGATCCATATGAACAAAACAAGGCTCTCAAGTTCTGGACAGCTGTTCTTCCTTTGTTTGCTTATAAATAGCTATCTGATATTCATGAACACTTGAGTACCAAAAATGCAGCGAAAATGGGTGAGATACCAAGCACTCAGCACTTAAAAAAATAAAGCAGTAGGTGTCTGAAGTTGAACGTTTCAACATCAAGGCACCTAAGTCAAAGGGTAGCGTTGATATATGGCTCTTACAAACTCAAGATAGTTACTACAGACTCTCTCCAACAGCAGAATTTCTGCAACTGATCACAGCAGTATGCCATTAACTCCTCACCCATTTCCTCCTTCACCATCTAATGATACCTAATTTCCTCATAGATCAAAATCGCCAAAACCAATTTAGTGCTAAAGCATACGAGAAGGGAAAAAAACTGAATTAATTCATGCCAGTAGTTCAATAGTAAGCTTATCTAACAAAGCCAAATCTCAAGAGAGGGAGAGAGGTACACTTAACCATTACTTCCAAGAGCTGTTTGGTGTTACATGCAAATGTACTTTGTGAGTCCACGTTGCCAGAGTTCAAGGAGAGTTTATATAAAAGTTTGAACTAATCTAACTGCATTGGTCTGGGCACTAAGCGCCCAGCATTAACACAGTGGAATTGGCTTAATTTGCATCAGTAGATGAACAAACTACAAATCTCAATGTAAAGCTGTGACTTATACAGCTGTGAAACGCAGAAAAACATTTCAAGTAATGCAACATTCCCATGGTATTGGGATCCACGGTGTGAGCAACTGGATCTGTCCCAGCTCTGTGTTTGCTTTGGCATATGGTCCCCTGCATTTGCTGTGGGTTTTGTTGGGTCTGGTTCCTCATTTTAAAAGGGCAGGTGTGTTTTTCCCAAATTTGATGCTCATATGCTGATGGATAAATCTCATGATCTGAATGTACTTTGCTTTAGCAACAGACACTTCAACAACAAAAGCTAGTCTTCTTATACTTACACAGCACATTAAAGTCTTCTCTATCCAGGTGTTTGCTGAGGTACAGAAGTCCTGTTTTTTCTCTGATTTGAAACCAATGATTTTCATGGGATCTTGCTCGAGAAATGATGAGATTCTGGCACAGATGAAAGTGGGCCACTTCCCCGTGTGAATCCCTCAAGGCATGGATACGCAGGAGAGGCGTACCTGCTGGCTGGTCAATGTAGACATTCTCTGAGTACTCTTTCCTGGGGAAGTAGAGACCAAAGGCAGCTGCAAAGGAAGGCACACAAGAGGAGAAGTGCTCCCAGTTAAATGATTTTTGCACTAGCATTTTCTCAAGAGATGTATTTCCAAAGAATGAAACGCTTCGTTCTCTAATGATTAAAGAAGCATTAAAAAAGATGTGGAAACAGGCAGATCCTCAACTGATGTAAATAAATATAGTCTTACTGCACTCGAGCCAGGGACATCGCCACCAGAATTTGGCCGATAGTTTATGTTCAAGTTACAAAATCATTTGCTTTTTGAAAGCAAAACTGCTTTGTTGGAAATATGGCCCAGTTTAAGCAAAATGCATAATGAAGTTCTGCTTGCCAGATTTTACTTAAGTTTGTATCTGGAGCTCTCAGCTATAATTCCATTATCTCACAGATGATATTCAAAGAAGGAAAAACCCTTTGATGAAATCACACATTTTAAAAGCCTAAACACACTCTCTGTTGAGAAAATACACAGTAACGTATCAATGGCTTGCATGCTTTTCCTTGGATTACATAAAACCTGTCTTACATAGGAGTTCTTTTGTGTCTCCCTTGCTTTCTAAACAGGCCAGCTTGATACTTTTGGTACAGAAAATGGGAGGTTTTTAAATAAAGTTGATATGAAGGTCTTATAAGTATTTTAAATATGACAGATTTGAAAACTGACAACTGACTTGCCTGCAGTGGGGAGGGAAACGTACATTTATCATTAATACAACGGCTGTGACTAATCCATTGTTCTCTGATCCCCCCCCCGACACTACAGACATTTACATTTAGTAGGGCTCAACTGCCCCTTGATGCCTGTTTCTTCAGCTGATCATATTACCAGGTCCCTTTCCAATGGCCTCTCTACCCCTTTCCAATACTTCCCTTCCAATTCCACTGCTTGCAAATACGATCACAGTGGAATGCTTGATAAGCAAGGACGACAAAGTGATGCTCATTGCACTCGTGCACACTGAAACATGAACTGTTGCTCTTGTACTTCACCTACACTATTGCAGAATTTGGCATCATTTAATCTGATTTGATAAGGAGTAAGGCATATAAAAGGCTCACACATCTGCTGAGCAAACAAAAATAATTACGATTTCCATATGTTATTAATACAAGACTACCTTAGCTTAAATCAAGCCAGATATGACTGGCAATGATGGCAACACAGCAGTAAAATTAGGGATATAATGCTAAAACATCTTCAAAATAGCATCAGGCTATAGCACGTATTTATTTTTTTTATTATTATTGGATCCATATACTATGCTACTGAATGGAAAGGACCACAAACAAACTGTAAACAAGAGACCTCTAATTTCATTTGGAAGTACCACAGAAACCACTGTACCTTGCAATGATTCATGACATCATCAGTGTCCCTGGATGCAATTACATCCACGAGATTTACAGAGACCCATTGTTTTTTCTACATATACTTTGCCATATATGAAGAAAGTGGTAATACGGTAGGTGAATTCACTCCAAATTAAGTAATTCAAAGGGAAGCCAACAATACTCTTTTTGAGAGTTTTAGAAAAGCATTAACTCCTGATGTCCCCTGTCTAAAAGAAAACTATTACTTCTGATTCTGGTGCTATCACCATCTCTTTTGTAAGTTAGATTCCTGAACATGTATAACAAATTTCAAATATTTTTCCAGTCCCTTTGTCTGTCTTTTTTGAAGTGCAGGAAAAGCTGGTGAATATGCACTGCTAGAAGTCCTAACAAACTGGTTCGTTAACAAGAAGGATAAGGCGATATGCAAATAGCAAGTCCAGTCCCAGTGCAAGCAAATAGATTTGAGGTATTTTCTATAAAATCTTGATTCTAGAATTATGAAAAATTCCTCATGAGAAATTCAACACTGAAAATTCACTGCTCAAGTCTAAAAAAAATACTTTTAACCCACTGATGTGTACAAATGAGGCTTATACAACACCAGCTACAGGACAGAGGAATATTTACTTATTTACTTATTTCTAAGACTGGGGTGAACAATTCTAATGAGAGCGATGCTGTGCACTCAGTATCACAAACACATCATGCAGTGCAAGAACTGGCACCGTAGCAGACATGAAATAATCTCCAATAAAAGGAGCATACACAAAGTATATATAAACAGTACAGATGTGTAAAGTGTGAAACTGGAAAAGGGAAAAATGGGCTATTTTGAGTTGTAATTATTTATTTCCTTGTCTTAAACAAGTGTGCTAATCTTTATGTGCTTTGATTTACATATCTGGGCCCACAGGGCATGCTAGTGTGTACACCGTTGTCTTTAACAAAGCACATGAATAATTATGACAGGCATCACCACTTAAACATCTGAAACTTTGCATACAACTACACCTCAGCAGAGGTCAGCATCCTGACTGCTCTGCATTTGAAAGAAAAAGTTTAGTATTTATGCTGCAGACTCTCTGAAATTCTTTGGCATCAGTTCACAGGAGCAGTCTTCTCCATTCTCAGAAAAAAAAAAAAGGGGAAACAAACCCCGTAATATAAAAATTTGATTTCTCTGTAGATAACAGAAATGCAAAACAATGTTGTGTATTTTGAAAAGAGAGGAGAATTCCTTCATAAAATAATTTAGAATTTGCATCACTAATTATCCAGAAATGTTTTTCACAAATATAAAAAACTACTTTAAGAAATTAGGGAAAGCTGCTGTAAGAAATCTAAGTAGAAGCATAATCGTTTTCTCACCGACTCAAACCTAAAAGCTGATAAAACTAAATTCTGTTCACCAAACGTTAGTTTTTAGTACAGAGCATACTTGTATATTAAGGACAACACCTAAGGATAGTTTTAAGTGACATCAATGGATATGACATACTCTCATGTTTTACTTAGAGAACAAGTATTTGAAGTGAAGAGACTTTACAACGCTGTAGAAACTTAGATGGTAAAATGAAAAAAATAAAAACAAAAATGCTTTAGCCATGTAACAAGATTCACCCAATGCTGCTGATCTTGAATTTACTGGGATTTTGTAAAGTGGTTTGTGTCACTCTCTAACTCCATTTCAAGCAGTGAAAGAGATGAGAGGTATGCAACAGACTACCCAGGTCACAACCACACTCTGCATATAAATCTTTGGAGGCTGATTTTGAAGGAGACCTTTGAAGTAGAAACGTAGCACCCACTTCTCCGAGCTGCATTCATTCCTTTAAGCCCTAGTAAGTTAAAACCAGACTCAATAAACTTGCCATCTGGCAAGTATGCTGCAGGAGGAAGAGGTTCTAATCCTGGCCACAGTTCCTTGTGTCCTGAAAAAAAAAATGAAATCGATTTCCAAGGACTTGTGCAAGCTTCCTATGGAAGCCAGATGGAGTTTTTATTGAATCTGCCATTTAAATAAAGAGGAATTGAGATAGTTACGCTCCAAACTGGTGGTTAAAGCGCTTTTGCTTAGGAATTAAAAGTAAAGAAACATTTTGCATTACAACCTTGAAATACACCATGAGAAGGTTGTGCTCTGTAACATACATGAGTAACGTGAGAGAGAGTGTTATTGAAGTATTTTTGAATCTCTGAAACTTTTTAGGGGAAAGCTTCAGCTCTCCTCTATTCTACAATCAGTGCAGAAAACACAGCAACCCCTGATGGATGAGCAATATTACATGATAATAGCGTATCAGTAACATACAGAAGAGAAAAGTGATCCCATCTAAGCGGATGTAATGCTACTGACTAATAGCTCCTACAGGAAATAGATACAGTTATGACAGCAGTTTTCCAGTTCAGGGAGAAAAAGCAGATGAAATGAGAGTAGAGAAATGAGATTATACATACTTTGAAGCCTTCATGATTGCCTTTTGAAATAAGGCAATTTTTCATGTGGCTTTTTCAGTCATGTGTGATTAGGTAAATAATGCCTTTTTTGATACAAATTATTTTTTTTTTAACCAAATTTGTTGTAAAATACTTTACATGTTTTTAGTGCTTTTTATGCTCGCCACTATAGTCTTGAGCAGCTTTGGTGGACTACTCTTGACGAAAACTGTTAAACTGATTGTAGCAATGTTATACTCTTACCATCAACCACGAAGACAAAAAACATAATTTAACGTTTTAGTCACAAAATGAAGTGGCATGAAATTTTTTACTAGTGTAGAGCAAGACTTCACTGTAAGACATTCTCCCAAAGGATATTTGTAACTATCTTTCAAGGTACAATTGCAGACTTCAGAAAACCTGTTTAGAAACAAATTATCCCACACACAAGATTTGCTCTGGAAAAGGATGCACTTAGATAACTGGAAAACCATCTCAGGTCTGTGTGGATCACTCGCAGAGACTCAAAGCATGTTGGAGATGCTGAGAAGAGAGGACAACCAGCACGCGGTGGGGTCACTGGTCAGGAGCACCCTATCACCCTAGTCCACAAGACCCATCTACGACACCCTCTTCAGAAGAGAAGTCACTGCAGGTTGTAGCAGCCGGTGAAGTGCTAGTCAGTAAAAAGCAGCAGCTAGCTCACTCTTGAACCTAGGATCAAGAACCTAAGAGCTAAACCCACAGAAACAGTGAAAGCAGTGCACTGCTCACATTCAAGGCTCTCCACTTAACCAAACCATTTGCCTCAAGCTAGGTAAGCAGGTGTCTTATGTAGCTCATAGTGAAAATTCAAAGCTTAAATGCTGCTTGGTTTAAGTTACACCATGTAGTTAAACAAAAGGCTCACTCTTGATTTAAAGCCTTTAAATGACTGAAATCTAACATATCTTTGAAGTTATTGTGTGTCTCATTACTGATGCAATCTGAAAATTGTCTCTCTAGCCTGAGTGCTACCTTCCACCTTCTTTTCACCAGTTCACGTTATAAGTTACACTTTTTTCTAGTAGATTTAAATCTTCACAGGTCTTATGGTGCCTGCTGGATGAACATGCATTTAAAAACACAAGGACTGGTTTGTGTTTTTAAGAAAACATAAGAAGAAGAAAAAAAAAAAATCAGCAAAATGGAAATGGAATGAGAGTTATTTTTCATTCAGCAAGTAATATACAGCTATATAACCCACATCCAACAAAATTTACTCAGAGTTCCCCAGCATTTTGGAGGACAACACAACAATTTGTTAAGAACAGAACAGCCCTCATGGAATCAAAATCATTAATCAAGACATGCATCTCCAAGAAGAGGTATGCTTTTAACGCAATGATAGCCCTATCATTGTAACATACAGAAATTAATGATATAACAGATGA